TTAGATCTGTGTGGCAGCAGCAATATACAGTAAATAAATCAATAAATCCACTGCTCTGTTGTCTCCTCTGAGGCTGGGACTGTAAATAGTGTTCTGTGCTCGTCTGTGCAGCCAAAGACAGACAGTTAGCATGTTTTGCTCAAACTGGGTTAATCTTTTTCACATTTCCTTGGTTGGTATATGCACTGGGGACCTGATTATAGCACTTAAAACCTGGAAAAGTCAGATTTTCATGATATGTCACCTTTAACTTAAAGCTGCAGTTAGTAAGTTTTGCCTCTTTGTCGCCATCTCTGTTTGAAACCTGCAATTGCAGTTATATGCGGAATTACAGCTTTACGTGGGTTGTGCACGGCTCCAGCGCGGATGAATCTAACGTTTTGAGGAGTATGTGCACAAGTCTTGAAAAGTTGAGCCAGTGGTTCTCAAACCTTTCCATGAAGTACCCCCAGCACTGCACATTTTGTATGTCTCCCTATATCTGACACACCCACTTCAGGTCTTGCAGTCTCCACTAATGAGCTGATGAGTTAAATCAGGTGTGATAAATGAGGGAGACATACAAAATGTGGAGGGCTGGGGGTACTCCAGGACAGGTTTGAGAACCACTGAGTTAAGCCATAGCGTCTCGATCGCCCCCATAAGTCATAAACCCCGCCCTCTCCATGTAATCTAATGGGATGTGAGACAAACTAAATCAAATTACACTTCAAATAAATTTTTTGCAAATTTGGTTTCCATCATTTTAGGTAGTTCTTATCATGCTGATGTATGTACAAGTGTTCGTTTTTCTAACAAGTTTGCTTTTAACTATTTGATGCTATAAAAATGGGGTGTGGCATCATGATTGTGAGCTTGCGATTGGGTCTGCGGGAGTTTGAGCAGGACTTTGATTCCGCGGCTCCACCTCAAGATCACTACTGTGCAGACTATGGCTCCAAATGACATCATTTTCCCAAGATAACAGCGGCCATACTGAGAATGTTTTGGCTTCACTCTTCTATAGTGGAAGGAAGTGGAGATACATCGTCCATCTTTTTTTACAGTCTGGTGGGCTGTCAGTCACCGTACCATGTGGATACTGTACTTTGGAATCACAGATTCTATGTCTTGGAATATATGACCCAAATAAGAATTTTCACCAGAAAATGTAATCTGAACAAGTAAGTAACATGTCTTCCACTTTTGTTCTGACCAACTGAGGAAAAAAAAGCATTACAATACATTGCGCTACCAATGGTGATTTAATCTAAGGATTTCTTAGCTCATATCACATCAAACTGTGCAAATTGTTATTATTGTTATACTTAACTCTCAAATGTTAACAACTTCAGCATTGCATGACTACCTGTATGTGGTGTGTATTATCTGTGTTGGGGAGTAACTAGTTACATGTAACGGCGTTAATTGAAAAAGTTACACTACTATTACATTTTGAATAGGGTAACTTGTAATCTGTAACCTATTACATTTCCAAAGTAACCTTCCCAACACTGTGTATTATTAGCGTTAATAGCCTATTTCTTTATGTATACAGACATGACATAATGACGCTAAAGCCCAAAACACACTGCACGATTTTAGCAATCCTATAAGATCACTGCATGTCACACTGTGCGACATGGAACTTGGCTACGACATGTGTAGACTGTACGATGACGACACCTATTGACTCGTACGATACGACACACGTTACTATAAAATAATAAAACGTCATCAGCATGCGCTAGTGCTAAACAAAAAGAGCATGATGAATCACGCTTTAGCAGTTGTATTTTTATGTGTTCTGAAAAAAAGTGGAAGCAGCGAAAGAGGAAGGGATAAGAGCTTGAGGTAAGCAGTTTTATGTTTTAGCACCATCATGTCGCATTTTTATTGGTTGGTCAGTAAACATGGATCGTACCAGCAAACACACTGTGCAATGATCATGCTGTATCGTAGACTATCTCTGGTCGCAAGACCGTGACAACGGCCGTCTTTGAGCCTCTCTCACTATACGACACAGAACCACCGATTAGGAGCCACGATCACAGAAATAGCCACTATTGTTTCACAATGCCAGTCTTTCGTCTGGGACAGCTGAAAATCGTGCAGTGTGTTTAGGGCTAAAGACAAATGGCATCAAGCTCGTATTTCCCATGGAAACCTACCAGTACTACTCAAATTACAACACATTATTACAAAATTTCCGTTGTGAATCGGTCTAAGGTAAGGAGATAGTTTTGAACAATGGATGGTTATGTACTTGCTCAAAAATTAATTTTGGATCAGTTTTAACCAGAAAAAGGTTCGGACTGCTTATCGACACCAGCAGAAAATGTTTTTGCCTTTCTTGAGGTCCTAAAGCATGATCTAAAAAAAAGCTGACTGTGCTGAAACCTTGATGTGAATTAGTTTTAATTAGTATGTTCTTGTTATTTCCTGCTTTTTTGTTGTTCATGTCTGGTAAATGTTGTCCTACAGGCCTTTAACCTGGAAACTTCTTGAACATCAATTGAAATAGATGAATTTACTTTCATTTTAGATGTCCAGCACATATCACTGCTCTATACTCACAAAAGACTGTATAACTACATCCTTCATGTATTTTGAAAGGCAGGGGCAGATTTATAGAAAAGCGTTGAGTTTTTAAGTTTACTGTAAAGAATATAATTTCTGTCAGTTAGCCTTCACCCCAGCCCACCTAAAGCCCTCATTATCCGACATTCATATCATAACACATCATAATCAGGGGAGTGTTAGCAGTGGAGTAATGTGGAGGAGTGTGAATGGTGTGAAGTTGATTAGTCTCTGAATGTTTAGCAAAACGCCATGAGTTGATGCTAATTGAAGCTGCCCACTCGTAGCGTTGCTGAATTATTGCAGAGAAACAAACCAATATAATGGCTACATTCACACAGGAGCAGAATGCAGCCATGTTCATACACCATTCATGAAAGCCACATTTTATATACACAGTGAATTCATTAAAGTATACAATTCAATTATGAGAATGAGTTTGGTTGATATGTGATGTATAAACAGATCCACTAGTTGACAACTAGTGCTAGATGTCTAGCATAACAATGCTAGCACTCTTGGAATGGCATTTAAAGGACGGTCTGGAACTGTTAAGATGTGATATAAAATCTTGACATTTATTATAGCTCCATTCCATTCTTGTCTAATTTTGTACATACAGGACAATCTGAGAGTCACATCTGTTAGTAAATGCAATGATCGATCTCAAACAATAAGTGTGTGGCCTATGTAGAGCCGCAGTGTCACTCTCTATCACAGCTAAATGGATATGTGTGGATATTATGATAAGAGACTCAGAAACAGGGAAGCGAAGACAATGATTACAAAGATATTTCATCAGTGATGCAGAACATTTGGTTCCAGTATACTCTCGGTTTGTCTCACTTTCTCTGTCATGGATGAAAGGCAGGACGAAATAATGGATGTCTAAGTAATCGAGGTGTGAATGGCAGCAACTAACACTGGGGAGTTTGCGGTGAATGTTTAGAAGTGGTGATTTCTCTCTGATCCCTGCAGGACTTTAGAGGCAACTGACACTTTGATAAGCTCCGCCTCCCATCGCTCGCTCAGACCCAAAGCTACTGGTAAATTTACTATTCATTTTGATAGCAGTTGCTCAGCTGGCACAGGATGTCTTTGTCCATGGATGCTCAGTTTTGGACAGAATGTTTTTTGAGCCAGTTATCTGCCATTAATGTCATGTGACTAATTTCTCAGAAAAACTATTTCATGACCGCGTTGACTGGCTGATTTTTTCACAATCCCTTCACTGGTGACTATCCTGAGCTGTGGCTCAGGCTAAAAATATAGCAAAAAAACATAAGTGCATTTCACCATTAAAAGTACTATCTACCTTCATTTCAACATAAGGGCGAGTGCAGCCATTTGTAACTTAAAGGAGAATCATTTGGCTGCTGTAGCTTTTCGCACTCATTTGACTCGTGCCTGATGCTGAGGTGAAGCTGAAGTGTGCGTCTGAAAATTCTCCCATTTGATGTGGTCATAAAGAGATACGGCGGTTCCGCATCTTAATAAATGCATTTCTTGTCAAGAAAAAAGGGACAAAAACTGCAGTTTTGAGTGAGGTGGCCAAAGGGGTGGCCAAGCTTTTGTCGGTGGTGGCCACAGTCACCCCTGGCCACCCCCTGGCTCCGCCCCTGATTATGCCCCTTTTTACAATATGTAATATAAGTCTCTGGTGTCCCCAGAATGTGTCTGTGAAGTTTCAGCTCAAAATACTCCACAGATCATTTATTATAACATTTTGAAAATGCCTATTTTGAGTGGAAGCAGAAACACGCTGTTTTTCGGGCCTGTTTCTTTAAATGCACATGAGCTGCTGCTCCATTCCTTGGTTGGTAGACGCACCGGGGACCTGATTATAGCACTTAAACCCCGGAAAAGTCAGATTTTCATGATATGTCACCTTTAAATGCACAAGGCTTCCAGTGTCAGCAGTATTTTAGCTGTACTGTTATTCTGTGGATATTGCAAACTGGTATTTGTTATTTTATTATTTATTATCCTAATCATAACGACACTGGTTTGTAATGCACTTTGCTTTTCTTCTGATTATTTACCTATAGTGGCAATTGAAGTATCACACATTTACAGAAAATTGCTTGCACACTGCGAAATAAGGTGAATAATATAATGTAATTTCATTATTAAAGTAATATTAAAGATATATGTTGCTTGAAAATAATCCTGATATTATTATAATATTCTGTGTTTTTTAATTCATTTTTACTACAATGTATTAATTATTAGAACACATGGATCATTTTGAATGACTGTTGATGGAGAAAGATTTTTGTGTCCAGATGTTGTAGTTCTCATATGTGCAGAAATTAAGTGTAAAAAATATTTATTTTTTTATCTGTCATTGTACTTTAAGAAAGGAAATATTCCTTTGAGAAACTATTAAATTACACAGTAAACATGATTAAATACTGCAGGCTGCTTCAGAATTTAAGTAAATGCAAACATGAGCACAAAACTCTTCCGAATGTTTTTGCCACTACGGTACTATGAATGTTTTAGTTACTTTAGCTTGAATCAATACATGAATAAACATGATGTTATTAGCATTTCATACACACACACACACACACACACTTAGCAGTTACTGCTTACTCACCACCCAGAGACAGGAAATGAGCCGTCACTCTTCCTGCACATTTCTCATCAAAACACTCATCACTCATTCTGGACTGCATTGAGGACACTCTTACGAAACATAAACTTCACGTGTTTACTACATTAGTGAATCACTGAATCACTTCCGTCTAATTCCAGTTTTGCTGGCTGTTGGCCCAATGACTTCAGCGCTTTTTTTCACAGTCCGACTGAATGAAGAAATTCTTGTAATACTTTTCCAGTATTTCATGGCGGTCCCAGGGGTACGCTGATGGTTTGGGGGCTGGTGTAGCCAGCAAAAGTAGTTCAGAAACAACTGAGGTGAGGACCAGCCTCAGTGGACTCACTTTCAAAAAGCTCTTTCAGCTGTTTCCCTCCATCCTGTGCTACTTCTGTCCTGTTTGCTACTCTCCGGCTGTCTCCGCTCCATTAGTTTTACTGCAGGGAACCAAATTACGTTCAATTACCAAGACACCAGAGGCTGCGCTTAGGCTTGAATCAGCACACATACACACCGACCCAGCACTCCGGACCGCCCCAAGACCCTCAGATAGAATAGGGAGGGATGGCTGAAACTGGACGTTGCAATTTTGTTAATGCCGGAAATACCCTCGAGGAGCAAGATCAAACTGAAGCGCTTCTGGATCAGAGCTGGAGCTAATCTCTGAGATCTCAGCAGTCAGATGCAGAACCACCCCACCTGTGAAAAGGATGTGTTTACATGGAGTGTTTGTTATTAGTGGCTCAGAGATGCAGCTCCCCATGAGTAGAGCACACCTTTGAAGATATCCTGTGCTCCTGATGACTGTTAATGCCTCATTACCAACACGCATTGAAACTTCATAACGTTACATCAAGAGAGTTTTCTCGCAGCGCTGCTGAATGCACAATAATACTGCTGACTGCGAAGAACTGGGCTGCAAATACGTCTCTCTGCTGACTCTTGTGTTGCATCACCTGGGCCTATTTTCTATCAATTGGAGTATATGAGTGTACAATGCGTGTGAAACAGTCCCTGCTTCCATATGTGCATCCTTCTCCACACATACAAAAGGAGAATTGGCTGTATTGATTATACAGCAGGTGAACAAAATCCGGGTGACGTCCTGCATCTGCTGGGATTCTTAAGCGAGGAAACAATGGACCCTTTGCTTTCCCATGGGAGGCCATGGGAGCTCACTAAATTAAAATGTATGGAAAGTGCAATTATGGAATATAGAACGTTGTTCCTCATGAGTAAAAAAACCTGAGTCAGGACCTGTCCCAATACTCACATTTGCAGTCTACTTACACAACATATTGTGGACGTGAAGACGCAAGTGTATGTAGAGCTTCTGAATACCCGATGAGACATACTTACAGTGATGCAAGTGAAGTTTTGCAAAGCTTTTAAAGGGGTCATGACATGAGAAATCAAATTTGCCTTGATCTTTTGGCATATAAGAGGTCTTTGTACCATTAAAACATCCTGCACTTTTTTGCGAGTGTCACGTCGCATTAAAAGCTAATAGAAATTACAATCACTGTCGCTATCTTGTCTACACTGGATACAGTATAGAGATGAGCGTTCACTTTCTGACAAAGTCCATGCGCTCGAGTCTGTCATCAAGACAAATGGATTGAAAGAACGTTCGCTTTGACGCGTTTGGTTTAAACAGCTCTTTCGCATCTTTGTACAGATATCAGAAGGATCCCAGAGTAAGGAACAAGTGGATAGTTTATTTTAATGACACCCCGGATCATGTCAGAGGATTGATCGGAGTATTTTGTTTTGTAAATGAGGCACAGTGTCATGAAGAGTTCACAAAGAAACATGAAGCGGTACTAGATTTGACTGCAGCTGCATCACATTGTAAGTAAAAGATTTCATAATGCTTTGTCTGGAAATGACGGTTTTATTTTGATTATGTTGTCAAAACATGCAATAGCGAGGGGGCGTTGATACTGTTTCCTATACAATGACGTTAGCCAATCATAACAGTGGCTGATTCCTGAGAAGCCTTAAAGGACCCGCCCCTTAAAAAGAGCCTGTTTCTGAGAGAAGCTCAGAATGAGGGTTGAAAATAATCATTTTTCCACATATTTTTTTTTGTGTGTGTGTGCAAAAAACGTTATTAACATTATAAGTAAACCTCAAGGAACATATTAAAATAATAAAAAAAAAATCCATGTCATGACCCCTTTAAACATTTAGATTTTCAGTACTTTGAACTTTGAATAAACTTTTAAACTTCTGAAAAATAGACCCATGTTAAGTGATTAAAAGGCAAAATATACACACCATATATTCCAGAAAATAGGTTGCACCTGACTATAAGTCACACTGGTAAATAAAACAATACATTTATAATCTTTATGAATTTTAGTTCCCCTAATGGTATTCAGAACAGAACAGCAATGAAAAATATAAGTTGAAAACAAACATATATTATAGTGGCATTCATTATAAACAACATTCATTATAAACACCAAGACTAAACATTTATTTAAAAAAAATAAATGTTTTCGGACAGGCCCAGTATTGTTTTCACAGTTGTTGTTGTGTCATGGGTCAAAGAACATATAGGTCAAAGGACAATGCCAAGGTAGTGGATGGGTGGGAATGATGTGTGGAAATGCTACTTCTGCGAAGAACTGATGAAACAGGCTATATGCCACTGCATGTGATTTCTATGCCTCCCTCTCATTTTTCCCTGCGAGCACAAAAGGGAATCTCCAGCAATGATGGTAATATTTATTTGTGATATAGGACAGGGGAGAGGTTTTTACTCACTCAAGCAATTGTTGTCATGGAAATGGCTGAGGAAGTGGTTGCACTGATCTCGGAAATTCCCGCTAGCTGCACAAGAGCACCACGGTCCCACATTTGATGTAGAGTTATCTAGGTAGTTCGGAGTGATAATGCTACCTACAGCGGGAGAGTGAGACAGAAATAACACAGAACAGAACATCAGTTGCAAAACAGAAAGCCAAATACAGTGCAAGTCTACCGGTATCAAATAAATGCAGCATCCATCTGTCATATCCGAGTCATGTATTATGGGAAATATTTTCTTTTTTTAGATAAAAGGCAGAGATTCAAACTTTGTTTGGCATTTTCCACAAATAGGGTACAAAATACAGCTTAAAAAATTCTTTCAATCTTTTTTTTTTTTTTCAACACATGATTAAAACAAAATTAGTTGCAAAAAAAAAAGAGAAATTTTGCAATTGTCAAACCATTATTTGTAAAGTGAAAAAACATAAAAATTAAACAATACATTTACAAAATTAAAATTAAGATAATTAAGATAATTAGTGCAAATTAAGATGTCACTTAGCACTCAGACATTCAACCTTTTTATTTTTTTCTTGCAACAAATGATATCAGATTTGTGCCTCAGGGACACCAAGTGCACCCTATTCATAGAATGTGCCATTTGACTCACTGTATGTGACCAACACTCTTCCGCCTTCTATCAGCGCAGAGACACTTTCACCCTTTTGACGTTAAAATATTTGTTGCATTTTAAGCAATCCACCTTGTGTTATTCTGTAAGCCTTCAGCTAAAACGGATATGAAAAGCTCTGTCAATCTTTATCTTGTGTGTGGGTTACATAAGTGTTCTAGAACATTGATTGCAGAGGATATAGGTCTGTAGCTCTTAGAGCTGTCTTTGTTCAGTAGGGAGGGAAAATGACAGTGCTTTTTCACAGTGTGAGAGAGCGAGTGTAGAAGGCGATAGCTGAAAGCGGGAAAAGTGGAGGTGCTGCACTCTAGAACTCTATGGTCTGATAGGGACCCGTTTAAACACATTGATTTCTTTTGTCCCAGAACACAAAAGCGCAACATCTTCACAACCGCTCTTGGAAAATACTGCTGTAATGACTAACAGTCAGGGCAGAGAGCTTGGTCTCTTTTTGTATTCGCTATCTCTGTATTGCCATGTCTTACTTGTACATTTGTTAATGTCATAAACTCTTCTTTAGCTCTCTTTACCAGTAAATCTCACTGACAATTCCGTCAAACGTTTGTCATTATTGACGTCAATCCTGATGCGTCTACCCAGTGTCCTTGCATGCCTTCTTGGAGTAGCCTATATGAACGGTGCTGGGGAAGACTTCCAAGGTGCTGTCCAGTGCTGGACTGGTAATCTGGCATACCGGGCATACTGGCATTTTCCCGGTGGGCCCACGCACTTTTGGGCCGGTACAATTTTTTTTTCCGCCAAGAACCGGCCCATCATGCAGGGACAGCGGCCCATCACAAAGCATTATATAGACGGAGTGATAAGGGATCTTGCTCCGCCTATGTAAATATCACTTCACCTCTCTTCCACCTTCCTCTCGGTCTCTCAAAATGGACAGACATAAGCGAAACGGTGGTGCTGAAAAGCTCAGGGAAAAGTAGCGTAAAAATTTGGAGGCGGATGCCGCAAAATGTGCCTCGTCGTCGGCAGTTGCGAAATGTATACAGCAGAGTTATCAAGAACAGGCTTGCTCTGCTGTGAGTGATGCGGGGCAAAGGGACAGGCAGGAGGAGGAGAGGAGTTTAATCGGTAAGGAGCTCGATAACGGGCTCGCATGAAGGGGAAACCTGTCCTAATGCGTGTGCGCACCATGAGTGTAGAATACGTAAACACTTTTTAATAAAACGAAAATTTGTGCCTTGCTCTTTTTTGGCCAAGTCAAGTGTGTTCACAGAGGTTTCCATGGGCCAATGCGAATAAATCTAGATTTAAATATGACACGACATTTTATTCTTATCCAAAACAATGAGCTGGGATATTCACACACCATTTTTTATTTTGTGAGTTTGCAATATATTCAAATACTTAACTTTCAATATTAAAGATACCAGTACTGTAATCACTGTTTAAAAAATAATAATTTATTAACTTATTCTTGGCCTTTCTCTCTTATTCTTATAAAGGTTGCATTCTTTGAGGAGGTCTTTGCTGTCCCTTAGTGTGAAGATTACTGGCAACATTTTAAATTATAGTAGCCTATATGTTGTACACAGTTGCATACTTATTTTTATTAATTGGAAATCATACTTTGAACTTTTAGCTTCTTTTCTTTGGGGGATACCGTATATACATATATACATACAGTATTATATATATATATATATATATAAATATGGTATACCTATATGTGGTGGGCCGCCTGGACCAAAACATGCCAGGGCTGATTTTTTTGTCCCAGTCCAGCCCTGGTGCTGTCACTCTAATGTTTTTGGCTGAATCCAGTGAGCCTCTAACTGATCTTTTCTTTGGGGGATATATTCCGTATATATATATATATATATATATATATATATATATATGGTATACCTATATGTGGTGGGCCGCCTGGACCAAAACATGCCAGGGCTGATTTTTTTGTCCCAGTCCAGCCCTGGTGCTGTCACTCTAATGTTTTTGGCTGAATCCAGTGAGCCTCTAACTGATGGCATATAATTTGCATCATTGCACACTCCTGGTCACATTTATTATAGTGAAATGTGTCTCATAGCTGCTTGTCTCCAAATAAATTGCCTTTGGAGAGCAGCCCACATTGCTTTTCTTGCATCTTTTGCAATACCTGCACAGACAAATGCTGCGAAGTACTAAAACAAAAGTTTAGCAGAAGCTGGAATCTTCTCACCATGAATCGTTACTTTTTTCGTCACCACGTTTCTAGTGGTGATAAGTTGCTGTAGTACAAGTTGATCACACAAATGTACTGCAGATCAGACCCAAAAGTACCTGAGTTAATACTGAGCCAAAGAATCAAACAACAACTTAAATCAGGGGTGTCCAAACCTGGTCCTGGAGGGTCACGTTTAGCTTCGACCCTAAATGAACCAGCTAATCAAGATATGCTGGACCTCTACTGCAAATATGGAGTGTTTTCCATTTTGCTTTTAGACAAACTTCGCAAAATTTCCCTAAGTACTTCCCCTCGGGGGAATCCCGGATGCCATTTTGAAGTGCAATCTACTTTGTCAAGTGAATACATAAAATGTATATGGACAGACCCTTGATCCCCCAATTTCAAGAGGGAGCGAGTCAACTCGTATGTACACTTCAGCCAGCTCCATATACCACAATGCTACACAATTGTGATGTGTGCAATTTATCCCCAACCATCACAACTCTAATGTATGATATATATTAATTCTTTTGAGATTTAAACACATACTTGTTTCTTTTAGGACGTTCCAATTTACACATCACAAGGATTCTGCCAGTAGTGGGCACTCGTAAAATATAACCAATCACATACATCCGAGTCAACAAGATGGAGGGAAGTTAGGGAGGGAAGGACATAAAAAGTGAAGTCAAACCATGGGTGTAGAATATCCAGGGGACATGCCGAATTGCATTCCAGCAGTGTGTATTTTCCAGCAAGTGTGTTCACGTAGAGCCGAGGTACTCAACAGGCGGCCCGTCTGCATTAATTTTGTGGCCCGCATCATGCTGAAGATTAATGTATTTTTATTACAATTTGCGCTCACAATATTAGGCTGTTTGATTTTTTTAATTAAATGTATACAATCGCAGTAGTAAAAGCTGCTCGATCTCTGCAAGCGCTGTAACAAACGTGCAATTAAAAAGCAACATGCCCCAAACAACTTAAAAGAGAAGCATTGTCCAACAAAAGAGGACATTTAATAACATGATTTTACTCCACAACATCAGTCGAGTGTTTGAAATAACTTCATTTTGTGAGCTGATGTGCAGTTTTTGTCACAAACGAGGCAGATAATATATTCTATATGGCAATAAAGGCTATGTCGATTAGCATTGGATTATACAGTAAAAATACTTTATTATTATGAAAATACCAGAGATGGCTTAAAGAACACAGACAAACCATATTGTCGCGTCGTATGTTTACTGTTCGTATGTATATATACATATATATTCATGCTCAGTGTTATTTTAAATAGGACAAGGACAAGCAATACTTAGATAAGTAATAAACTATACGTATGTATTTCTAAATCAGTAAGTCTGCAAATATGGTTTTAAATAAAGTCTAATAATGCTAATTGTAATTTGTGGCCCTTCGCATTTATGTAGTTTAAATGTGGCCCCCCTTTGCCTTTGAACTTAAGTACCCCTGACATAGAGGTTTTCAAGGGCTACTGTGAATAACTGTAGATTTAAATTCAAAGCAACAAGATAGTCTATGCATTACCTGATGTTTTATTTGTATCCAAAAGAAGGTGATGTGAACATTGCAGAGCGCTAAACACTCTCGTGCATTGTATGTTTCATTCATACTCGACGCTAGAGGGCGCTCTCATGCAGAAAGTCCAAAACAGACTTATAGAAGTAATAATTTGTGCCGTGCCAGCTATTGCAGCCAGGGCTCTATTGGTTGTGGCTAGAAGGGACACAGCTACAGCCAGAAAATAACAATACAGTATATTTGCTACCTATTAGATTGTGTTTTATTCATATGTGCACATACCCCAACCCTAAACCCTGCCCTTACTATAATGCAAATACAGTAATTAATTGTTGTTCAGCGTGACAAAAATGACACAATATTGATGTGTATGTGCATGCCCAGTAGGACAATCTGGCCATAGCTGTATCCGTTCTTGCCCCAACCGGCTCAACGGCTCTGATCGCAGCTAAGCTGAATAAAAAGCAGAAACATTTTGACTGATGAAACGTGAAGACAGTAAACATACGATTACGACAATATGTGTGTGTGTGTGTGTGTTTTCAAGTCATATCCAGGTAATAAATAAAGTATATGAATAATGATATGCTAATTGACAATTTTTTACAGTAGAAACTATCAATTGTATATTCCACCTTATTCTGTGATAAAAATGGGAAAAAGTGTTTGTAGTGTATTTAAACCAATAATAAAATTGTCATTAGGAACATATAGGAATAATATTATAGAATATTATTGGTTATTGTCCAGCAGTGTATTTGATTTCTTAGCCAGTTAAATAAATAAATAACTAACTAACTGTCAGTTAGACACACACACACAAAAAAGGTATTACATTTGACATTTTTGTCCCCCTCATTTCTGAAATGATGTCTATGCCCCTGAGTTTTTGAGACAGGTGTGTTGGAGCAGGTTGAAGCTAAACTCTGCAGGATGTTGGCCTTCCAGGAGCAGGACTGGACACCCATGACTTTGGAGCCCACTGACTGTCATTGTATGAACAAAAACATTTGAAACATTCTTCAAAATATCTTCTTTTGTGTTCCGCATAAGTCATACATGTTTGTAATGAGGATTGTAATTGCAGTATATGCATCACATGAACTGGTGACAAGGCTTAATAAACCCCTGAGAGCTTGTATGCGTCACGGCGGTCTTCTCTTCTTAGAATTTCACTTGTCGGTGGATAAGATTGTAATGCCAAGCTTGATAAGATTGCAGTGCCCATAATTTGAATGTCCCTGACTGGTGCATGCGATAAGCCAGGTTGAACTACATTGCCCAGAGTTCTCACCTATCAGGCCGGTGTACGCAACAAGGCAGGCTCCGTAATTTTCTTGCTGGCAGCCGCTGGCAGTAAGCTCGGAGGGTTGGCAGTCGTGCTGGAACTGAGCCCAGCGAGACCTGAGGGAACCACAACAGCACATCCATCATCCAGCCAGTCAGCAAACCCTCAGAAACATGCATTCCCACAAACACTTTCCTCTACCTTGTGTTATGGGGCTACATACTCTGTTCTGTTTTGTCCTCTTTTGTTTAGAAAGCTTTACACCAACACTCTCCACTCCATTCTCAGTGATTTTCTCTCTTTTTCAATCCCCCCTACATGTACTATACACAGTTCTAATCCATTCGTTTTGCTAATCAGAGACAGAACTGCAATTCAGAATTCTGGAGAACTGGCAGATACTCAGCCTCCGGAAACTCAGCCGACAGCGACCATTTACATGCAGATCACATTCTGCCAGTCCTCTGGTGACCAATCAATCATTTAACCAGGTCAGTCTCAGAGGAATTACCCACATTCCCTGCTGATTTCTTATGCTAACTGGCTGTTGTGGCCGTAAGTGATCTCCTCTTGTGTAATGTGTTGTGTCAGCAGAGCGTTCACTCGGCGTGTGAAAGCGTGATGGTTGATCGATGGCAAAGACCGATGAAGGCCTTTGTGTTTGTTATGTGAAAAGAGGGAGGCTCAAATATGACCACTCATGTGACTGCAGCTGTCAGACTTGTGTGTTTGTTGGATTTACGGTTTTCTGTTTGTCCGTAGTAAACAGATAAAGTAACGGAGTGTAAAATCCTCCTATACTTTTATTACGCTTATGATGTACAGTCTTCTTTCTAAACTGTATAACCTTGATTTTGTGCATTATTGCATTTCAAAAGCTGTTGACAGCAATTCATTAATCATTATGCATTACATTCTCAGCAATGCCACAAGGGATGCTGTAGCATAAATTGTCATCTTCTATGGCCAGTTTTCATATATACTACAATTCAAAAGTTTGGGGGTCAGTAAGTTTTTTTTGCTTGTTTCTTTGTTTAAGAAATTCATACTTTTATTCAACAAAAACACATTCAATATTTAAAATTAATTCAGCTCTCAGAATCCTCAAAAATATCTCAGTTTCCTCACAAATATTAAGCAGAACAACTATTAAATTGGTTTTCAACAGTTTTCAACTTTGATAAGACAAATTTCTTGAGAACAAAATCTGAATGATTTCTGTAGGATCATGTGACTGACGACAAATACATGTTTGCTGAAAACTCAGCTTTGATGTCACAGAAATAAATATTTTTAAATATATATTAATTTTTTTTACTATACAGTATTTTCATCAAATAAATGCAGCTTTGAGCATAAAAGACTTTTTCACCAACATTAAAAAAATCGTACTGAGCCCAACATTATGAATGGTTCAACAGTTTTTTAGCAAGCTTTGTTTTGCAATTTAAAGCCATCATGTTTAGTAGCCAGCTAAAGGAAAAAAAAAACATATCCAGTTTAATGGTACCGTCATTCCTTTGAGTACCATTGTTTGTTTCCGGTACAGCAATGTGAGATCGCGCATTAATTATGTTTAACAGGACAGCACACCTGCAACACATTAGCCAAGATTACTGAAATAAAGTAGGTTTTTGATTGGTTTGATTTGATTGGTTGGTTTCTATGGCTCTTATTCAACAATATTAGCCTCTTTGCTGCCCTCAGCAGCTTTGGAGCACCCTTGCATCTATGGGATGTTATGGCAAGACTTATTTGGAATGGTTCCATTTAAAAAAAAAATACTGCAATCAAATGGCATTGCTAAAGAATAATTGTTTAATTGGAGTATATTAAAAGTATTGGTTACACTTTATTTATACTTTATTATATATTATATTAACATTCCTGTGGCTCAGTGGTAGAGCATTGCGTTAGCAGCGCGAAGGTCGTGGGTTAAATTCCCAGGGAACACACATACTGATAAAAAATGTATAGCCTGAATGCACTGTAAGTCGCTTTGGATAAAAGTGTCTGCTAAATGCATAAATTTATTTTAATGTATATTAACAATAAATTACGCATAATTACATGCAAGTAACCCTAAACCAAATCCTAATCCTAACCATATATTAAGTACACGTAGTTAATTAATATTACTCAGTACTTAAATTTATAATTACACTGTAACAAGGACACCTTAAAATAAAGTGTAACCAAAGTATTTTTGTTTAATAAAATAACACTTTTTAGGTTACTGATAAAACCAGAGTGTTTATCTAATGTGAATTTACATCGTTTTAACACGTCTTAACATATATTCATTTCTTCTGGTTTAAAACGTTTTGAATGGGAAAAAATGACTTTGTGCACCTTTATATATTACTCTCTACAGAGCACAGAGTTTCAATCTTCAGGCCCTTCAAAAGAGCTTGATTGTATTTATAACAGTCGTTTTCACACACAATACCCACTTGCACACATAGTCGGCCTCACAAACTCGAAGTTGTGACAGGCAATTGGGTTTTTCCCTTTCTTCATAAGAGCACGCAGGCACAATGGTCTGGCGCCGTCGCTCTGAACAAGCCGTGTCAGAGCATGGACAGAAGAGCAGCTCGTGTGTGTAGTCTGGCGGCACACGGTCGAAGAACTTTCTCAGTGCTTTGCTGCAGCGTGCTCGGTTGCAGGGCCCAGCCCGCACCGATGGGGCGATGCATGCCGACACGTACTCTGTGCGTAGTTTCTGACACGTCTCATCCACATTACAGGCCTTAGCAGCGTCCAAACAACGGTTCACTGTTGTCATGCCCACCTCAGACTCTGAAAGGAAGGAGAGAGAGAAACAGGCTTGTGATTCCTGGGTATAAAGAGATGAGCATGTTAGTTACACTTGCCTACTAGTACAAACAAAAAAGGTAGTTGGAGTGGCTACAGTCGCTGTCCAGTGCTGAAACAGAAGCTAAGAACACAGAATACCAGACCACAACTGCAAAATGTGGCATTACTTACCATCCAACATAATATTCTTTTACCTGAAGCCAAAATAATGCAATGCACCAACCCCATCTCATAAGAAAATGTTACTATTTTGCAAGATGGCAAAGGTCTTTCTGTTCCAACCTTCTTTTCCCCTTCTTTATCATTTCCTATAACCACCAATGTGGCATAAGCTGATTGTCGATCCTTCCCTCCTTCCTCCCATACTTCTTTTCTTCCTTTCTTTGTTTCCTTCCATCCTTTCTTTGCTTGATTCTTCCCTTTGCTTACTTTTACTTTGCTTTACTTTTTCCCCCCTTATTTTCCATTACCTAACATAAACATGGGGCATAAGCAGATTGTTCTTTCTTCCTTTTCTTTCCTTGCTTCCTTTCTTACTTTCTTTTTTTCTTCCTTCTATTTCTCCCTATTTCTTTACTTGCTATCCTTCCATCCCTCTTTCTGTGCTTCTTTCCTTCCTTTATTGCTTCTTTCTTTCCTCTACTGCTTCTTACTTTGCATCTGCTCTTTGCTGCCTTTCTTTTTTGTTTCACTTTTTTCCTTTGTTCTCCTGTCTTTTTTACTTCCTTCGTTTCTTTGCTTACTTGCTTCCTTTCTTTTTTACTTTCTTCTTTCCCAACTTTATTTTCCCCTTGTTATCCATTCCCTAAACCTAGCCACCAATGGGGCATAAGCAGATTGTCCTCCCCTTCCTTTCTTTCTTTCTTGCTTTCTCTCTTGCTTCCTTGCTTTCTTAGCTTCATTACTTTGCTTCTTCTCTGCTTTTTTCCCCGTCTTTCTTTGCTTCCTTCTTTGTTTTTCTTTGCTTCCTTCTTTCTTTTCCCCTTCTATTCCATTTTCTAAACTTAACTGTCAATGGAGTATGAAATCATACAAATGAGATTGTAGCCACTAATGTCAAATGCAGAATAGTTACGAATCGCCATAAGAGTGTATTAAATGCACTTACAAAAGCAACAACAAAAAAGTAATTAGTTATTTTCAGAACGGCCTTGTCCAACTGTCAGAGCAGCATGAGTTTTTGGAGGTGTGCTCTGGCTCATTGTTCTAATGAGGGTTGAGGTTCATACAGAACATCTCTTTCTCTCATGTCCTAATGAAGGTTTGAGTTGGTCTGCTCCAAGAGGATGTGAGTCTGGGTGGCCTGTGTGTGCTGCTAATGAATAGAGCATGAGTGAGAATGAAAGTTGAATGAGTCTGGTCTCTATCACAGAGCAAGTCCCAGCTGAGACTGGCTGCTGCAGCTGCTTCATTTTTCATATCAGACTAATGTGGGCCGCAGAGAGCCTGCCAGCATTACACTGCCATAGAGCTTGCTTTATCTCTCTCTCTCTCTCTCTCTCTCTCTCTCTCTCTTTCTTCCCCCATGAGCCGTGGACTTTTTTTAACCACTGCCCCCTTCATTGTCATCTTTTTCTTCTTCTTCACCTCTATGTCTTTTAACATGTCCTATTTATCTTATCCATCTATCCATCCATCCATTGTTCTTTGCTTCATTTCTTCAGTTTGTTTCCTTTCCTTGTTTCTTTCTGTACTTTCTTTCCCCATTCATTACTTTATTTTCCTTCCTTCACTTACTTGCTTGCTTCCTTTCTTTTTCCCCCTCATTTCTTCTTTCCCTTCTTTCTTTTCACCTTTTTTAATTACATCTTTCTGTCCCTCATCCTTCTTCACTTCCCTTCCTTCCTTCCATCCTTCCTTGTTCGTTTTTTCTTTCCTCTTTTCTTGATTTATTCTACCCTTTACAGTGGTGGCCAAAATTATTAGAAGAGTAGTATTTTCAGCAGCTAAAAAAATGGGTTTAAGTCAGTTATTTCTATCTTTTGCTGTAGTGTGTCAGTAGGAAATTTCCAAACATTCATTTTGTCATTAATTGTAATAACCCAGGGAGATTGTTGTTTGCATAAGGAGTCTGACAACAGCCAGTGCTCCACACAGAGATCTGATCTCATCATCACCCAGTCTGTCTGGAATGACATGAACAAACAGAACAAACTGAGACAAACTAAATCCAGAAGAACTGTGGAAACGTCTCCAAGATGCTTCAAGAGTCTGCAGAGCTACCTGAAAAACTATTCGCAAGTGCACTTAGGGCAAAAGCTGCTTTAAAGCTTTACAGGATGGTCACACCAAATGTTGATATAATATAGTTAATAGAAGTTAATTGATAAAGAAAATCTATTTATGACATTATTTTTGACAGCATCCTCATTTTACAGCATTTTTACACAAGTGCCTAAAACTCTTAACAGTACTGTAGCTAAATTGCAGGTAGGTTTCTTGAAGCATCTTGGAGACGTTGTCACAGTTCTTCTGGATTTAGTCTGTCTCAGTTTGTTCTGTTTCTTCATGTCATTCCAGACAGACTGATGATGATGAGATCAGATCTCCCTGGATTATTACAATTAATGGCAAAATGAATGTTTGGAAATGTAAACTGATATTTCCTACTGACACACTACAGCAAAAGATAGAAATAACTGACTTAAAACCATTTTTAGCTGGTGAAAATACTAGTGTTCTAATAATTTTGTCCACCACTGAATTTCTTACTTTACTTTCTATTCTTTCCTTCCTTCATTTGCTTGCTTCCTTCCTTTTCTTCATTGCCTTTTTCCACTAATTTCTTTTCTCCTTATTTATTTCCATCCATCATCCCTCCAATTATACTTTGTTTGTTGTATTTTCCTTCTTTGCTTTCTTGCTTCCTTCCTTCCTTCCTTTGAGTTCCCTCCCACCTTTCTTCCGTCGCTTGTTTCCTTCATTTCTTCCTTTTTTCTGTTTCCTTCCTTTTTATGAATGCTTGTTTCCTTACTTGTTCTTCCTTCCTTTCTTTTCCACCTTTCCACCTCATTTACAGTACATTCTTCTGTCCCTCCTTCCATGCTTGTTTCTCTTCATTTTATTTTCCCTTGCTGTCTTTCTGTTGTTTGTTCGTTCTTTCATTCTTTGCTAGCTTTCATTCTTATCTTAAATCTTTTTCCTTTCTTTCTTTCTTTCTTTCTTTCTTTCATATAAAAGGGATTCTGCTCAGAATCCGTTTGGGTGAGATTACTTTCTCATCCATCATTAAGGGGTTTTGCGAGCTATATATATATATATATATATATATAATTTAAAATCTGTATCTTTCAAGGTTAATATAATTTATCCAGTAAAACACTGAAAGCATCATGCCACATGAATGAGTATGTAATAGAGATAATAAAGACAAAAACAAACACATAAAGAAAATAAAATGAACAAAAGTTCCTGTTTGGATATGTGGGCCTTTTAATTTGAGTCTGTAATACTGGCAGAAAAGCCTGTTACAAGGTCATTATAATGTTAAGAATATATTTAATTAATTTCTCACATTTTTCCCAGTTTCGTTGTCTTTTTACTATTATTATTTCTATGTGTCTATCTCTCCTCCCTCCCCTTTCTAATTTCCACACTTTTGTTTGATCTTTGTTGTCTCTACCGAGCCAGCTTGTTAAACGCTCACAGTGTTTGAGAGTTGAGAGCAGCCATCATTAAAAGTCACGCATGAATGACCGACATTACTTTCATTACTTTGAGGAAATCATTCTCTGTCCTATCCCCGAGAGTTTAAATGTTATTTTATGTGTGTCTGCTTGGACTCAAGTATGTGTATGAGTGTGTGTGCACACAAGAGAGATGATGAGTAAATGGATCATTATGTGCTGCCCTCGGGGTCCATAAAATTCAGCTCATGCCTTAAGCACCCCATAAACTGAGGCTGACAAACTGACAGTTTTAGTCATGTGCCTCCTCCAAAAATAAGTTTCTAAACTTGGTACGGTGCTATTTTGAGTGAACGTAATGAGATGGGAGAGAGATGAGAAAGTGATGAGTGAAATGCCTTCATTAGAAAATGAAATTCTGAGATAAATCATCCGACCATTTAGTCTTTGTTAGGTCCGTCTGAGAGTCTTTGGCCCACAATGAAATGTTTGTTCTGCTCCTGACAGGTCCCTAATGCATGCCTCATTTTGTAGGAAACGTAGTTTATCATCAACGGTGCCGATGAACACCAACTATGTTATATCCAAGTACATTAAACAAAGCGCTCATGTTTTGCTGTTGTAAGCTATTAAGCTCTGCCCTATTAATAACTCTTCACTGCTAATGCTTGGCATAGAAGTGACAAAACACATCGTGATCAGTTCCAAATATAAATTCCAACACCACAGCACATAATCGGCATAGTGTGTCTGTGCAAATCACTGACCTGCAGCGATGGAGGCCAGGCGAACATAATCAAAGCCCCGCTCGACAGGCTCATAGGGGTAATTCTCCACCAAGCTCAGCCCTGTAAACGCACACACAAACAGGGTTTTTCGTGGCTATGGTAACAGAGTATTTTGTGTCAGTGAATTAATGTGAGTGTCACAGGTAAAAGTTCAGTTTGAAGTAATGCTTCTATAATGCTAAACTGGTTAGCATATTAAAACGCAGCGTCTAATTAGCATCCATTGAAGTGGTTTCCGGGGACCGTGTGGGTGTGGGTATTAGAACTTGTAATTGCATCATTGTGCGAGCGAGTGCTTTGTATGTGACAGAAAAATTATGAATATGGATTTGCTCACCGTGCAGCACGGACTGCTTGAGGCTCCAGTAGATGCTAAGACAGTTCTTCTCTCTCTTCATGCCCCGTTTGCACTGGCATCGGTGCAGAGGACTAGACAGCAGGGCCGTCACGGCGTTCTCGCAGTGGTTGCGCGCCCCCGGACCCAGCTTCACGCTTCCGCCGCCTGCGACACACTGCCGCAGTGTTCTCAAGCGCGGGCTGCACGCCTCGTCGCTGGAGCACGAATCCCCCGCAGTCAGACAGTCCCACCGGCCCCCGGACACCAGCCGCGGCACCCCTGCACAGAACACACAGATCTATCAGGAACACTTTGCAATAAGGTCCCATTAGTTAGCGTTATAGTTAATGCATTAAAAGGAAAGTTCACCAAAAAAAATAAACCTCTTTCCTAACCTTCAATTTGTTCCAAATCTGTATAAGTTTATTTTGTCTGTTGAACACAAAAGGAGATATTTTGAAGAATGTTGGTAACCAATCAATTGACGGTAGCCGTTCACTTTTATAGTATGGAAAACATACTATGAAAGTCAACTGGTTGGTTATCAGCATTCTTCAAAATATCATGTGTTCAACAGAGTAAATGATGACAGAATTTTCATTTTTAGATGATCTATCACTTTAACTGGCATTATTACACAATGCTTTTAAATGCTTGATTCTAATTTGTCATTCCCCGATAATGACATCATAAAAAGGTAAGATTTTAAATCAGTTTCAAGTTTCAACTCAAATCAATATTTCACATCCACGTAATTATTTATTTGGTGAAAAGCCATGTGATGAGTGATATGACATTATCCCTTCAAATGTTTGTGTTTTTGAATTAATTTGGTTGTCTTGTATCAAAGCCGCTTGTTTCATTTATGTGGCAAGTAGCCATATAATGTATCCAGGTGGTGGTTGTTGTTGTAAAATAAACCCCTTCAAATTAATACAAAATCCCTCCAGTTCGCACCAGGGTTCAGATCGCCTTGTTGGGGTTTGGTCTCTTATAACAACTGACTGGATCTACATCGTCCCTTACTTAACTAACAATGAGAATTTCATTTGTAACAGTATTTATTAATCGTTCACTGTTAGGTCATGTTAGCTCATGTCTGTTAAATAATCTTAGATGTAATATTTGATTTGAATAATGTATTAGTAAATGTTAAAATTAAGATTATGAAACACTTTAGAAGTTTTTTTTAATTGTTAGTTCATGTAACTTAATGTATACAAATAGAATTTTATCGCAAAGTGTTACTGATCTGTCATTCATAATAAACTTATACAACATTTACTGCTGTAAACAAAAAGCAATATTATTACTTGTTTATGTGTGCAACTAAAGGAATAATTTACATGGCTTAACCTATGTCAACCTCATCCACTTTCCCTGCCTTTTCACAGTCACGCCACTTGTTTTCAGGGGGTCAGCAAGCTGCAAAGTGTGGAGGAATGAATGACAAACAACCTGAGTGCCAGATTTGTTCATCAAAAGACAATTTCATCCTTCCTGAAAATGATTTAAAAAAATATGAAAATAGCCTCTATTTAAATCAGAAGTTAATGGCAGAGAATATTTCTGAAAGTCTGATTTCCCATTATGCACAGCTGTTTTATCTCAAGGGCAATAATTGCATCTCAACATCTGCTTAGCTGAAACACCCATGTGAATAACTTCAGCAGGTAAAAAATATTTTCAACAGCTGTCTATAAATTTCCCAACACAATGCATGCACTAGCCCATAGTCTTTGTTTAGCTTGTTAAGTGTTTGATATATGCAGTAAATATCTTCTATTGCTGTTTACATAATGAGATCTTAAATATCATGATCTTAGCATTGTTTAAAGGAGCTGAATGCAATAATGGTCTCAGCCTCAGACGTCCCACCCACGGACAACCCACCATCTGTGCCCTGACCTTTTGATGCACACAAAACTGGCAAGTATATTTGAAAAGTTTGGGTTTTTCCAAGCCAGTCTGTGATTGAAGCTGCCCCAGGAGCTGCTGATATAGTTCTCAGCCGTCTTTGAGTCTGTTCTCTATACCTCCGTAACTATCTCTGGTTTGGTTCAGCTACCAAATCGGACAGAAGGAAACTGCAATGGACTGTCAGGACTGCTGAGAAAATTATTGGTGCTCCAGTGCCCACCCTCCAAGACCTGTGCATCTCGAAACGGGCGGGAGGAATCACTTCAGAGCACACACACAGGCCACTACCTCTTTGAACCGTTGCTACAAAGTTTTTTCCCCTCAGGCCATCTACCTCATGAACAATTAAAACTGCCTTATGGGTCTCACCATAGTGCTGCATTTCTATTGTGAACAATATGTCAATTCAACTCAAATATTTATTCAAATGGATGTACATATTTAACATACTTTAAAAAGAGTAACCATTATGGAAATATGTTGCTGCCGCCATGCCGTGGAGACACTGTGTTTCGTTGTGAAAGTGAAACTATTTTGTTTGGCCTTACAAAAGAGGACCATATCCGCTTCGTCATGCCTGGAGCTGATCCGTGCTGGTCGCTGAGGAAATACATCAAATTCGCGCTGTGGATCGCCGGATCAGCTTTCACCGTGGACGAAGCGGAGTCCAGCTCAGGGTCGTCACATATGGTTGCTGCAAGCCCGCCCGTTGCTGCTCACTCAAGCCGGCCGCTGCTCACTCTAGCCCGCCGTGTGTGACGCTGTGTTTCATGGTAAGGGGCGTAACATTTCCGTCACACGCTTGAGGTATTCGGCCAATCACAACGCACTGGATAGCTGGCCAATCAGAGCACACCTCACTTTTCAGACCGATGAGCTTTGTAAAAATCGACACGTTTCAGAAATGTACAGTATGTGGAAAATAATGTTTTTTGAACCTTAAACCGCATAAACACATTTCATTACACCAAATACACAAAATAATGTTCTTTTTTAGCAACATCATATGACCCCTTTAAAAGAATATACTGAAGTGCCAACTGTATGTAACGTTTTCGTACACTTAACTGCAATTTAATGAAAATGTATTATACTGTAGTTTAAATCAAGGGAAGCCAACCCTGCTCCTAGAGAGTTACGTCCTGCAGAGTTCAGCTCCAACCCCAATCAAACACACCTGAACCCGCTAATCAAGATTTTCAGGGTCACTTGAAAATTACAGGCAGGTGGATTGAAACAAGGCTGGAAAAGTCTGCAGGAAGCAGAAGGTAGATGTCCAGGACCAGGGTTGGCTACCCTTGATTTAAATTTATACTGAATGCAATTAGGTGAACTTTAGACCCACTTAAGTAGGACATATTTATATGTCATTTCATAATGACTTGTATTGTCTTTGAAATATGGTTAAAGTGTATGCCGAATGAAATGACAATGTTTGTGGTAAGCTGAAATGTATTTTAATGCCATTTGTATTGAAACTTGTACCATGTATTAAATATATTTGTAAATATACATTTGCAATGAAGTTGCAATTTAGACTTTTTTTTTTTAAATGTAGTAACAAAAAGTTATCAAATAACACTACACTTTAAATTATAATCAGGTACTTTACATGTGCTTTAGTAGCTATGTAAGTAACACTATGTAACACTTTAGTAAGTAAGTAAAAATATTAAAACCTATTTATTTAGTGTACTGTAAAGAAAATCTTGGTTGTGCCTTTAAAGCAACTGTATGTAATTGGTTTACCTTGAAATTTCAGTTTCAAAATCCTTCTGATAGGATACATACACACTTGTAAAAAAGCGAATGGCTTCTGTTACTTTTCCATGCTTCTCCTCAAACATCTGTTCCGAGAGTATGTAATTTTGGTAGCGGGTACAAAACCCCGCGAGGGGCCCGATTCGCGGCTTGTCGAAAAAAAATCCTCTATTGTGTGGTGTCATTACGATTATTTATCTGCTCCCGATCGAGACGGAGCGTCCCCGAACTCAAATCTCCCCGGACTCTTGATCGGGCTGCCTCTGACGTGATACCCGCGACAGCCAATGAGAGCGAGCAAGTGTCACTTGTCAAACTTGGCATCCACAAACATGACATGAAAGCTGACAACGTTTATTGTCCTCTATTTGTTTTTCTTCTCTAGTCTTCTAGACACTTCTCGCGAGTGTCCGTGAGATCATGTGTCACTGTGAAATCGTTCCTACAATCATAAAGTGTGTGGTCTCGTGGTCTGGTCAAATCGTCTAGTGTGTGCGTTCAGAGGATTATAAGGCTAAAAATCAGTTGAACTGTCTTCATGTCTGTGGTCTCCCATGGTTTTAAAATCGTTTAAGATTCGAAAATCGTCTAGTGTGTCCCAGGCCATAGGAGGATAAATATACAAAACTACATACAGTTCCCCTTCAGGAACTCGAGCTGCGTCGAAGTTGCTTTGGGAACGCCCTTGCGTGACCGCGTTATGAAGCACGTGTCAAATCGTGTGACGGTGACGTAAGCACCAGAAAGTATAAAAGCGCATCCGGCAGAGCGCAAACCAGCTTCTACTCTTCAGTAGCGCTCTGTGTATGTGTCTGTCTATTTACTGTTGTCTGTCCGCACAAGCATATATAAAAAACAATCATGAAAAAGTCTATGGCGAGCGAACGGCATTACAAACGCTGTGTTCCTCCCTGCCCACGATATCTGGCGGCGGGGGATACACACGATTTGTGTGTCGTTTGTTTGGGAGCGGAGCATGCATGGTCAGCTTTCGAGGAGCTGATTGTCATCACTGCGAGTTACTCTCGCTGCGTATGCTCCGCTCTCGCCTGGCTGTGTTTGATGAGAGCGGCCAGGCTTGCGATCCCGCTGGCAGCGGTCCCTCTGTTGCCGAGGCACGACGTAGACTGTTGTCGTGGGGATTGCGGGTGGATTTAGCGGAGGGATCCGAGACGGGCTCGTCCTTTTCTCGGTCCTCACCCGCTAGATCCGCGGCTCTCTCTCAG